ATCTAAATGTATTTTCTTCAACCATAGGTATTAAATAGTTGTTAATTAAATATATCTAATTGCGACGTGTTATGTTCTAAGAGTGGACACTGAGGTAGATCAAATTCATAACTCATGTTTGATATTTTATTCTGCATGATTGCATAATGTATTTTTTACATTTTGAAAGATGAAATGTCAAAATACCTCAATTCATAACTCTATTAGAATTAAAAATTACTATCTTAGAGTATAAAAATAGTGGTTAAATGTTTTGATAGCTTATTTAATAATCCCACTCGAATGCTCTTGCCGTAAATAGTTTATATTAATAATTCCCCTAATGTTTGTTTCCGTCTTACATCGACCCCCTTATGGTATGATTTTCAAGGATTATTACGTGGAATATTCCAATAATGTTTATTATACCCTGCACACACGACATTTCTTTATGGTAATTTTTAAAGACAAAAATTACCCTCAGGTGAACTTTACACGAAATCTTTATTCTTCTTAAATAACACTTTCACAATTTTTTATTATTACCATGACAACCCTGAGGGTAACTTTTTAGTTTAAAAAGTACTATAAAAGAAATGTCACGTCTGCAATGGTGGACTCCATATTTTTTGGGACATTACATGGAATAAAAAAGATTCCGTAAAAAAATCACACCATAAGGGGGTCGTGTAAGACAGAAACAAACATCAGGGGGGTTTGGTATAATCACCGATAAGTGGGGGTGTTTTCTGTAATTTCACCTAAGTTCAAGAGAATTTTCATAATTTATCTTATTAACAATGATTATTGTTCTTTTACGTCTTAACGCTTACTTATACCCTTATAGTATTTTAAATAATTTTAATGTCAGTTTGATAATATAATTAAATATTAATTTCTAACATATTCATATGTGTTTTTTATGGTTCAACTGCCACACCTAAGAAAGTTGATATAAAGGTTCAAGATTGAATATAATTTTTTTTATACTGAATAATATATCATTGCAAAAAAAAATTGTTGCAAAATCAGAATTTGTGATTAATATTAGTATTATAAATTATAATTAAGATTATTTGAATTAGTATTAGTATTAATACTAGAAATATGTTTCCGATTGTACTTAGGATTACTATAATATTAGACTTCTGATTAATATTAGTA